GTCAAAGAATTCGAGCCTCGCATCTCTCAAAGAGGTAAAGTTCCACTTCACTTGACTCACGACAAGTTTGCACTTCATCATTGACCATCTCTCTCTCTCTCTCAAGGTCCCTGTATCTTTCTCTCTCTCTCTCTCTGTCTCTGAAGGTCTTTGTCTCTCCCTCTCTCTCTCTGTCTCGCTCCTCACTCAAGGGTTTTGTCAAACACATTGAAAAAATAGGAGTTCTCAACATAGTTCAACATAGTTCACATATTGAGTTCACATATTGAGTTCTCACATTGAGTTCACAGATGTTCTCAACATAGTTCACAGAGTTCACACCAGCCCTCAACATTTTTACACTGGCGCTCAACGAAATACGTGTACCTTAATAGCTACAGCTTGAACGGTTCATCAGCATCTGAAAGCGAAAAGCAATATATAAACTTTGCAACTTCAAGTGCGCTGCATGAAAACAATGAGAGATGAACCTGACAACATAGGATTCAAACACGCAAACAATCTAGTCAATATCCTCAGGCTCTTTCTTCGCCTCCATGTTCATCTCACGATCCTCACTGCGTTCCTGCTTCTGCTTCTTGACATTGCCCTTGGGCGCAGCCTTGGCTGTGGAAGGACTGGTCGCAGGCTTTCCTGACATGACCTTTGCCTTGGCCTTTCCTTTCCCCTTTGCCAGAGGCCAATCTTTGTCAAACATCGCTCCAACCAATCGACCCGCCACTCTGCCCACTGCTTGCGCTTCACCTTTGGTCATGCCCTGCTTCTGGAGTTGAACTTCACACGCATGGTACGCTTTGCTTGTGGTTCTCGTTCGTCTCACACCTCTGGCCACACCTTCCTTGTCCCACTCCTTCGCCTTCTCCATGGCCATCTCAAGGGTGCCCTCAGGGATCATGTTAATCAATTCCTCCTCATCCTCTGGGAATGACTCCTTTTCTTCAGGGATGGTCTGTTTTGGTTCCTTGGCATTCTTCACCTTTGAAGTTTGGCTGCGCTTGCTACCTGCCTTTGCTGCGGATGCCTTTGCCTTTGCAGCAGCCTTTTTGCCGCCTTTGCCTTTGGCCTTGGCCTTTTTTGGTGCGTTCTGATTCAATCTCTGGTTCTGGGACTTGCCATCTCTGGCAATGGGGTCAGCTTCCAAAGCAGATTTCAGCAATGCCTTCTCTGTTTTGTTCATAGCCAAGGAGAACATGTTGCCTCTCTGTGGCGAATCGCTTTGAGTGGAAGGGGCGGCGTCCTCCTCAGCCTTGGCCTTGTTCTTCTTCAAGATTGTGATTGGGATTTCATCATCACCTTCACCTTCACTGTCTCCCCCCTTCAAAACGTTGTCAAAAATGGCTTCGTTCTCTGATGTGCTTTTCCTGCGCGCGCCCTTGTCTTCAATCTCAACCCGTAGCCGCTTTGGGGAAAGTGGGGCCTCATTCGATCCTTGGCTGTCTCCTTGAGCATGGAATGCAAGGAGTTGTGACTCTGCCTGCGGAATTGCCTCAACATTCACCAGGGCCAGGACATCCTCCAGTGCCTGTTGCTGTTCTTTGTCACACTTGCGAAAGGCTTGCTCTTTCTTTTTTGGATCTTGCTTCAATTGGCGGAGGTGGCTCAAGCCCATACGAACATAGTCATCCAACTTCTCTACAAAATCGTCGTCTTTCTTGCTGGAGTAGTTGATTTTCTTGGTAGTGCACAACCTCCCCAAAGCAGTTCTATGCTTCTTCGATGGAATAAGAGTGTTTGGAGCCAGTTTCACGTAGCTTTTCCATAGTTCACTGAGTGAAGCCAACCAACTTGTCGGGCACCCGGACTTCCAAGAAGCGGTGGCTGGAGGTTGAAGGAGCTTCATGGCATTGTCATCTTTCTCTGATTCGAGGTAGTTTTTCAGGGGTTCAACTAGGTCGCCAACACCAATCATGGGATCCGCAGTGAGACGAGCGCGAACGCTCAACATCTTGGAAAAATTACAAAGCACCTGTTCAAGTATAGAGCCCAAATCTGTTCAAGTTGAGAAAAGAGTTCTCACAGGTTTTCGCAAACAGACTTCAATGAACCTCAAACCTCTATCCATGAGAGTTGCGACACACTGAATCAACACCAAATCTTTAGCGCTTTCTTCAATGATCCCCTCAACACCAAATCTTTCGTTCTCGCTTTGCACACAGTGTCTCAAAAGCTCTCTCATCTCATGGATATGTCTCCCAAAACATGCTCACATAAGAGTATATATGTCTCTCACAGTCTCTCCATTGCAACCTTTCACTGTATATATAGATATATGCTATGTCTCTATAGGTTTCTGGATGTCCTCCAAAAGGTCCCTCTCATGGATATGTCTCTCAAGGATGTCCTCCACAAGGTCCCTCTCGTGTGTATGTCTCTCAAGGTCTCTCAAGGATAAAGTCTAAAAACAGACTCGCAATAGGTCACTAAAAAAACTATCAAAACACTACCAAACAGCTACCAAACTACTACCAAACTACTACCCACGAGGGTCGTACTTTGATACGGTACTCTGGAAGACAGGGGTCATACTTTGGTAGAAACTACGTCGTAGTTTCTACCCCTTCCGCGGCATCGTCGACACAAAAAATCTAACTAATAGTTAGTTTTTTCTGACTAATAGTTAAAAAATCTAAGTTGTAAATCTATAGATTTGATGTGTGTCAAAAATAAAGAGATAGTCTAAAAAAAACGAAGAATAGTTAAAACACAACGAGTATTTCGTCAACTTTTGCTGAAACTATTTTTCAAAAATCTATTGATTTAAAAAATTCTAACTAATAGTCCAAAAACAAGCTAACTCAATCTATTGGGAAGCGGCGTTTGGTAGCGAGAGTACCCTCTAAATGAAGGTTGATGCTGGCGTGACCAGGTGTTCGTGGCGGGCCAGGTGTTCGGAGCTAGGATGAGCGAGACAATGAGCGAGACAAATGGAAACAAACTTCTTTTTTGTAGGGATTCAGAGGCGGCGTTTGGCAGCGAAAGTGCAACCAGAGGAGGCTCGTTTCAGAATTAGATTGGGGAAAGCTGTGGCGGGGTCAGGTGTTCAGAGGCGGCGTTTGGCATCGAAAGTGCAACCAGAGGAGGCTCGTTTTGAACCAGAATTAGATTGGGGAAAGCTGTGGCGGGGTCAGGTGTTCGG